AGAATTACATGATTTTTGGTAATTTACTTGTTTAACCTTCACTACAAGAAAAAAAATGAGTTTGACTTGAATTATGAGAGGTACGGTTTATATATGTGTGAATCCCCGTTGCCTTGCTATTGTAGAGCACACAGTGGGTGCTCTATTAACGTTCAAACTTAATTATAATATTAAAGCCGTTCAGTTCTTCACTTCAGATTTTTTTTTTTTAAGTGGCATCCACTTGGTTAAGTGACCTGTCTAAAAGAGATTTAGCCCTAGCCAATTTGGCTCAGTGGATAGAGCATTAGCCTGTGTACTAAAGGGTCCCCAGATTCAATTCCTGGTCAGGGCCCATACCCAGGTTATGGGCTCAATCCCCAGCCCCAGTGTGGGGTATGCAGGAGGCAGCCGATCAATGATTCTCTCTCATCAATGTTTCTATCTCTCTCTCCCTCTCCCTTCCTCTCTCTCTAAAAAACAATAAAAACATATTTTTTTAAAGCACACCAACAGTAAGATCAGCTAAATCCATGGAGCGCCGACCCCATGCTGAGCTCAGCTTGCAGGCGGTGAGGCCAGTTGTCCCCCGTTGCGGGTAGGGGGTGCTGCCGCAGCCCAGCTTCACAGCTCAGGAAGTAGGCTTGGAGAGGCCAGCAGCCTGCCCAGGTCATGCTCAGTTGGAAAGTGGCAGAGCCAGGACTCGGGTCGGGCCTGACTCTCAGCCGTGCTGCTGGCTGAGCTGAGAGGGGACCCCAGCCCTCACTGTTCCAGGCCTGGCCCCACAGGCTCCCCATCTCAGCTCTGTGTTCTGATCCCCTCGCCCCAGCTCCTCCCAGAGCCTCTGCAATGGGAGAAGATGCCACAGGGTGGGGTCGGACTTCCGCAGGCACCGAAGCCTCTCCCCCACCTCCACGGGCAGCCCTCAGCCCTTACCCAGTGGTCCTTGAAGTTGTTACTGATCACCGACGAGCCGAAGGACCGGGCAGGGTTAATGCTGCAGCCTGTGTAGTCGATCTGTGAAGGGGAAGGACGTGGGCAGAGGGAGGGAAGACAGAGAAACAGACAAGGGGAGAGGGAAAAAATGACAGAGAAAAGACAGACAGGTGGCAATCAGCACTAGAAAGATGGTCAGGAGGCCCCTGCCCTTCCCTCTCCTGGGCAGAACCTGCCTCCCTACCATCCTCCCTCCATCCACCCC